TGTGGAAACAGAGAGCCCTTGGCCACTTTGGCACGAAAGCCTTTGCGCCTTGAAAACTGCCTTTGGCAGCCTTTGCTCTCTTTAAGTGCGCGAAGTCAGACATATCACATATTTGTTCACTGATGAACGAGTGAGCGATATAAAGTTGCTTTTCATGAGACCATTTGGATTTAAGGCCACCATGAAACGGGTCCTCTCTGAGCGGAGCTTGGCAACAGCGTGCCTCTGCTTGTTGGAGGTCGTGTAGTGTTGGAGGTCGTTGACGTAACGCTACAAGAGTTGGAGTTTCTTTTGGTTGAAAACTTGAAAGGTGACGTGATGTCGTGCCGAGGATGCCAGAGACTGGCAAGACAGAGAAGAGCGAGCGCTCCTGGGACCACTTAATGACTATATAATGCTGAGAAGTTTTTGCTGATCAGAATCAATCGTGTCAATGACCTCAGAAAGAGAGGAATTAATGTCTGAGCCCCTAGAAATTGAAGGTGTCCGTAGGTTTCAGTTTGGTTTTGACGAATACCTGTGGCTACAAGCAAAATGGATTTGCTCAAAAAGGCTCCAATGTTGAGATGAACCCGTACCTTAAGACCCAAGAGCTGTTGGATGTGGCAATGCGATCGGCCTAGGCTTGATACCTAACTGGAACGAAATCATCCGAGACTTGGCGGAAGACATTTGGGGGAAGTCATTTCCGGAGGCTTGTTCAAATGATATGGTTTGTGCACAGCACTACTAGGAGCAAGGACGCTATTAGGGCTCCTGGCATCGCTACTAGGAGCAAGGACGCTATTAGGGGCTCCTGGCATTGCTACTAGGAGCAAGGACGCTACTAGGGAGTTGAGCGACATGTACAACTAAGGCCACTTCGGACAGAAAGATGATGATGGCTCTAGTAACGGCAGTATCATGACGCGCTGTGCTTCCTCATTGTCAAGCACTACTTCTCAAACCTCCCTTTCTGATGCGTGCCCAGGATTGATTGGTTTGGTCAAGCAACCGGATTCCTTCTGTCTTTGGTTCTTACATCCTAGTGAAGCTAAAGTCTCTGCATTTTCTCAAACATTGAGGTGATCTGAGACTAGTTTCAGGATTATTATGGCACTTTGTGCTTACGTTCCTTGCTTGCAAGCTGACGTGAGCATTTGTCCTTTTCGGTCATGCAAACTCAACACTGTCAAGGCCATTCGCAGCTGACTGTGTGGCCGTTTCACCCCAGAGTTATGGAGGCTGCCATCGCTGCTGATTGCGTCAGTCACTGTACTCAACTTCAAGAACTGCGGCATTTTTGTTGGTCACTTGCACATGGAATAGTGAAGGACTTCTTTGTTTCCAGACATATGTTTAGTGGCACATCTAGTTTGTTTCATCCGACTTTTTATGGCACGATCTCCAAATCATTTGTCACCGATCTTTTGGCTTGGCAGAATGATGGCTCCTCATAGCCTGGGATGTGATCACGTGATCAGATTTGCGGGAATTGTGCCGGCTACCAACCACATCGGCTGTGCCTTGTGTCTGCTCATTTTTAATTGCCAGCCTCGTGTACTTCTTTGTTGTCATACCATGGTATGATTTCATCATGATCGGTTGTAGATCAGATGGTGCGAGGCTTATGCAACCTAACCCGGTGTATCGATCATCACTATGTACTGTACATGTGGACGCGAGATACAGTTGGACTGTTGGACGGAGAAACGAGCACCATGACAGCGTCAAGCCACAAAGTAAAATGGTCGGAATCACTCATCACTCAAATCCAACGATTTCGGGACCAGACTTCCTTCTAGGTTGGAGGTCATCGCTATTAGGTTTGAGGCCATCGCTACTAGTAACAAGAAGCTACTAGGTTGGAGGCCATCGCTACTAGTAACAAGAAGCTGCCAGGTTGCAGGCCATCCCTACTAGGTTGGAGGCCATCGCTACTCGTACTAGTAAG